AAAATTGCTTGGTTTAGAATATATTTTCTTTTGGTTTTTTTTCAGCAGCTTCATTAGGGTATAATTCACATGCCATAAAATTTGCCCATTAAACATTTCCAGTTCAGCGGGTATTCATCGGGTCATAGAAGTGCTGGCTCATACCAACGCACAGGAACCAAACTAGCCAAGACAATTTTGAAAAGAGCAAAATTATAGAACTCACTCTTCCAAAGCTATTGCCAATACTGCAATAATCAAGACAGTGTGGGACTGACATGAGAACTGATGTGTATGTCAAAGGAATAGAAGCAAACATCCAGGAATAAAACCTCACATTTACAGTTAATTGATTTTCAATAAGCATGCTAAGAATAAGATTTTCAAAATATGGTGCTGAGACAACTGGATAGTCACATGCAGAGAATGTAGTTCAATCGTTTCCTTGTGCCATATGCAAAAGGTGATGTGGTGGGTGGAACATTGGTTTGCTTACCACAAAGTTAGTGGTTCAAAATCCACTAGTCACAGCCCAGGAGAAAAATAAGGCAGAAAGATTTAAAGTCTCAGAAACCCAATAGAGCAGTTCTGTCAGGCTTTACAGGGTTGCGATGAGCTAGAATTAACTCAGTGGCAGTGGCCCAAGGGCAGAGGTTCAAAACTAACCAGCCGCTCTGTGGAAAAAAGAGAGACTGTCTGCTCTCATTTAGACTTACAGTCAGAGACCCTAAAGGCCACTATGAGTCAGCTCAATAGCAATGGATTTGTTTTTCTATTTTGTTTTGCTTTGGTTTGTGTTTTTTTCATTGCTCTATAAACTTTAAAACTAGTTATCCACCTCTGCTAAGTGGGATCCTGAAAGAGATTGGCTTGACACTGTAGATCTATTTGGGATGTACTGGCACATGGAATACTTTTCTAAAATTCATGTTCAAATGTTTTTATTGTGAGTGTATATTGATCTTGTAATCTGATACCTTGCTTAACTGCGTTAGGATATGACTACACAAGGATATTACTATACACAGGCCTGTCTCTCAGATAGAGGCATCCTTTCCAATATAAGTGCTTTTTATTTCTTCCCTCCTGACTGATTGCCCTGGCGAGAACTTCCAAGATGCTCAGTCCAAGTTAGGAGAGTTCTTTCCTCTCTCTCACACTCTTTTTTTTTTTTTTT